TCTGGTACCGTGTTGGGGGCGTATATACAGGCTACGCATATTATTTCCAGCTCAAGCATTCCCAGTAACACTACCCATCTCCCTTCCTCCTCGTCGGCCGCCCAGTGAACCACCTCCATTCTGGAGTCTGGTGGGACCCAGATAGCTACCCCGGCAGATGCCTGTGATGGAGCATGCGCACAATACCGTTGGTGCGGCCAGGCCGTTTTGTAGGCTCTTTGGTGCTCCGGCTTGTCCATGAGGTGGGTCTCTTTGAATACACACCACATCTGGCCAAGCCCTTCCTCCTATCCCTCGCAGCTGATCCCAAATGGTCTGGACCTTAGTGGGATTGTATGTAGCCAATCCATTTACGTTAATGGATCGCAGTTCTAGATCTGTGTTTTTTATAAGATTTTTCCACGCCGGGCTCTTACCATATAAAATATTGATCTCCTCCATTATGCTTCCACCCGTTTCCTTCTTCCAGTATTTTATGCCTTTCGTTCTTCATATCAGACTGGCGACCATTTTTGTTGATCCCAGTTGATTTCCGTGAGAACCCCTTTTCTTACTATCCTTGTAATACAACTTGCAAGGTCTCCTTCGAACCAGGTTTTGTTCCCTTTTAGCTTAAGTAGTTGCAGGTCCAACAGCTGATTTATGCCAAACCACTGGAGTCCTGAATCCTTGTTGTCGTCAAACTTGAGGTACACATCTATACTTGCAATCTGGGGGTACTCCCTCCCTGGCTGCAATGTGGACTGGACTCCTGCCCCATATTATTCCTTAAGGAAGTCCTCCACTTGCCGCCAAAACATGAGGTCACGCATCCCAGTACTGGTCCATATATTAATTAACTTAAAGCCGGGTAGGGTGATATTTTTATGTTTGTCCCCGGTACCTGCAAGTTTCAGTCCTAATTCCTATTTCCCCCTTCTCTTGCGCAAGGGAATTAGAGTCACTCCCGCTCGTGTCATGAGGGTTCTTTCATGTAGTCCTTTCTCAACCGCCTGCTGTACTTTTTGTCTGCGTGATATTAATTCCTTGTTTCCTTCCTCTTCCTCTTCTTGTCCTGTCTCCTTCTCGCCGTCATTTCTCCTTGGTTCCGGCAGTGTTGTTACCTCTTCTTCCATATCCTTTTCTTGTGACGGTGTCCGTGATGAGGAGGAGGAGGCGGTTGGAAGAGGAGGTGACGACGGAGGGGGAGTGGATGGGGCTTGGGGAAGGTCTGGGGGTTCCGATGGCGGCTGAAATTGGGCTACAGAGATGTGTAGGATCCTTTGATAGACTTTTTTCCATGTACGGTGTATCGGCGGGCCCTTCTCTAATGCTTCCATTAGTGTAGGGCTTTTGTCCAGTAGGCCAAATAACTCAACGTATGTTCTATCCCAAAATTCCTCTGTCCCCCTTAATTGTCCTTCTCTCATGCAACGTGTCTTGAGGTGTGTGATGACCCAATCTGCTACAGATTGGAGCTTGCTCTCGATGTCCAAACTGCCAGGGGGGGCATCGGGGCCTTCTCGTGATTGACCTCCCTCTGCACCTGCTGTCTCAAAATCCATTGGCTCTTGTAGCGGACCCACCAAGTGTGGTGCTCCGCTAGTGACAGAGATGGAGACGGAGGAAGAAGGGGGGAGCGAGATGGCACAACGCAGCTCCCCACGCAAGACTCCAACGCACGTACTCCAAAATGTGCAAGTGAAGAATGAGGGTGAAAACAGACAATGGCTGGGGTATACCCCAGCGGACTGACGGGACTGGACTGGACTGGCTGGTACCGACAGAGGTACCGACCTGGACTGGCCTACCCCGAATACAACACAGGCCTGTGAGAACAGGCCAAGGGGCTGGTCTCACAGGCCCAACCCGAGGTCCGCTACACGATCCTTGGCCTGTGATGGATCGCCTAGGTACAAACATGCTTCCGCCAAGAAGCGGAACTCTACCAAAGAAAAGAAAACCTGAGTAGTCTAGGATGCGGAGCAAACTCCATGCTGAGTCCATACGATGCAACTTAGGATATAAAATGTCACAAAACAGCAATGTCACAGCTAACAGCCTAAGTGAAAGCAGAAGCAACTAACTAACATACATGTCCTAGGAAAGCAAAAGCAACTAACTAGCATACATGTCCTAGGAAAGCAAAAGCAACTAACTAGCATACATGTCCTAGGAAAGCAGAAAGTAGTGACAACTAGATCCTAGAATGTTGGAGGCACTAGCCTCAGTTTGGTAACAACTGACTAGTGTATAAGTCCTAAGAACAGCAAAAGCAGAACAACTAAATCCTAGAGATGTCAGAGGCAGTATCCTCAGTCTGCGAGCAACAAAGCAACAACAAGTCTATCATATGTCACATGAGAAGTGTGTCGCAAACCAAAGGGTGGGATGGTCTCTGAGGGTGGCGAATGCAGCCTAGGGGTCGAAAACTTCTAAGGGCATCCACACATAGATAACAGGGGACACATGTCATCAGGCTCAATGAGGGTAGGGAGCTGAGAGCGAACAGAACCAATGACCCTAACAGATAGACCATCAGGGAGGGTAATGCTCGACTAAGGGGTGACCGCTATGGAGGGTCGACCATGCAAAGGAACAGAGGAGCCTGGTATACTTGGCGCACCTAGATGAAGCATGTGGGGCTGCCTAACTAGGGCGTGAGGGCCGTCAAAGGGTAGAACGATGATGGGTGAGGGAATCATGCAAATGACTCCTAAAGTGAGGGAAGTCGGAGCTAGATCCGTAAGATGGGAAGCCAGGGCAACGCTACGGTCTCGATGCCTATGCGTATACCAAGGGAGAGCCCAACTCAGAGGAACCCGGCTAAAGGGAGACCATCATGCGACACAAGCAGGGTACTGTACAGGGTAGAGTGGTAAGAGAGTGGCGACGTCTGAAGTAGGCAGAGCTGATCGTGATGAAGTCCATGAAGTTGCCGATGACGTCCACGATGAGAAATCCGAAATGTCGTCGAGGAAGAGCCGCAGCGTCGACGAGCTGAAGTAGCAAAACTGATGTGGATGGAGTACTGCGAAGTCGAAGACATGGGAAGGTAAGCCAGAGTCAATCGTCGTATCGAGCAGGACGATGACGAGTGCGTTGTGGATGCTCAGAAGCATCCGGCTGCTGCTGAAGGTCTGCCTCAGATGAAGCAGGTTCGACTTCAGCGATCTCCTCAGCCGGAGGAGAAGGAGGAGGGTCAGTGGGCTGAGGAGGAGCAGTGAACCCAGCACGACGAGCACGGTCATAGGCACGCACTAACATGCGAGCGTGMTGCAAGTGCTCGAGGGGCTCCCAGGTAGCCTCCTCATCAGGGTAACCCTTYCAACGTACGAGATACTCGACGTGGGGAGGGTTGTCGTCGGTGACTCGGCGACCAATGATGTCTGAAACGAGGAACTCCTCGTGACCGTCCACCATGATGGGTGGAGGGCGCTCGTATGGTCGTCCAGCGAAACGCTCAGACGGTCTGCGATAAGGACGCAGTAACGAGACATGGTAGACATCATGCATACGAGCCTTACGTAGGTAGTGGACAGCTTCACACGAAAGTTGACCGGGCTAGATGTCGTATCAAAACCGACGGCCTGGAGGATGCGGCATGGGCCAAAGAAGCGACGCCGAAACTTGCGAAGCGTGTCCGCTTCGAGCTGTAAGTGGCGGGCGTCGATAAGCACATCATCACCGGCTTTGAATGGATGATCTATTCTCGATCGGTTCGCACGTGCTGCCATGCGAGTTTGGGAAGCGGCTATGTAATCATGTGCGGTCTTCATAATCGACGTCATGTGTGCAACCCAATAATCCAGCGCGGAACAACTCGTGTCAGGGTGCATCTAGGACGGTCGAAGGAAGTCCGCGGGAACACGAGGGTGATAACCGAGGTCGCAATAGTAAGGCGACATCCCCGTGGCTGGCGAGACGGCGTGGTTGTCGGCTATCTTCGCGTGGGCAAGATGAAGATCCCACTGTTGGTCGTCACGAACAATCTTTCGAAGAATATCTCCGAGAGTCTTGTTCGTGATCTCGGTCTGACCATCGGTCTGAGGATGGTAAGACGAGGAGAAGCGGAGCTGAGTGCCGTATACCTCGTGGAGCCGTCGCCAGAATCGGGTGGTAAAGCGTGGGTCACGGTCAGATATGATGCTCAAAGGTAAGCCGTGGTCACGCACGACTCGGTCAAACACGGTGTCGGCGACCTCACGTGCACTGATGGCATAGCGGCACGGAACAAAGCGTGCACGCTTCGTGAAGCGATCGACGACGACCAGGATAGCATCATGACCGCGAGGGGTCGGAGGACGAAGGGGACCGATGAAGTCCATCGAGAGTGACTGCCAACGACCCTCAGGGATAGGAAGAGGCTAGAGCAAACCATAAGGCAGGTGGTTCGCACTGTTCACCTCCTGACAGGTGGGACACTCTGCGACGTAGTCCTTCACAAAGTCCTTGCGCTTCGGCCAAACGTACAGGCGGCTCACACGAGCCAACGTCTTGCGGAAGCCCATATGACCGGCAGCTGCCTAGTCATGGAACTCTGCTACTGCTCGGACACGTAGCTGTCCAGTGAAGGGAACGCAAATAYGGGGCTCTYTGGTGYCCTGTGAACCGTGCCAGTACACAAGACCGTTGTCCCCGAGAGAGTACTTCGGGACGGTCTTGCCACTCCGAAGGGTCGCGTGGATGTTGCGATAGTCAGGGCAGTGGCGGTATTGAGTGCGAAACTCGTCGATCACCGAGTGGTGGACGGTGGTGACCGATATGGAAGAGAGTTGGATGTGCTCCTGGTCGTAGTCAGGGCGCCGGGATAGGGCATCTGCGACCCGATTAGTCTCACTTTTGATATGCTCAGTGGTGAAACTAAACTCGGATAAGTCGCGCCACCATCGAGCCTGTCGAGGAGTGAGCTTCGGCTTTGTCAGAAAAGCCTGGACAACAGAGTTGTCCGTGCGCACCGTGAATGGTGCCTTGTGCAGGTAGTGACGCCAGTGCCGAGCGGCATAAACTACTGCGAGAACCTCACATTCATCAGCAGTGTGGTTTATCTCAGCGGGCAGGAGCTGACGGGAGTAGAACGCTATCGGACAATCACCTGAGCGAGACTCGACACTGCCGTCCTCGGCGATGGTAGGAGAATAGTCAATAGAGGGCTCGTAAGTAGCTGGACGAGTAGGCGTCAGTTGGGAAGCAGTGGTAGGGGTAGGTGGTGGGAAGCGAGGGATACGAGGATGAGAGGAATCAGGAGAGGAGGGGAAGACCTGAGAAAGCACTGCTCCTACAGCAAAGTTTGACGCATCGGTGGTAAGGATAAAAGGGCGATCGAAATCGAGTAGGTGAAGAACCGGTGCGCATGTTACCGCCTTCTTGAGGGCGCGGAAGGCGTCCTCGTGGAGGGGTGTCCAAGCCCAGGGTGGGTTCTTCCGGNGGTGCGCATGTTACCGCCTTCTTGAGGGCGCGGAAGGCGTCCTCGTGGAGGGGTGTCCAAGCCCAGGGTGGGTTCTTCCGGAGAAGGGTGGAGGTAAGGACGTAGGAATACCTAGCGTATCCCTGGATGAAATTACTATAGTAGCTGGTCAGGCCTAGGAAGCTGCGAAGCTGCTTGGCGGATGTGGGGGCGGGCCACTCCGCAATAGCAGTGATGTTCGCGTCGTCCATGTGGAGATCCTGGTCAGACACGTAGTGTCCTAAGAAATCCACTTTGTGCTGGGCAAAGCGGCACTTGCTCAGCTTGACGTAGAAGCCATGTCTGCGCAAGCGGTCAAGGATGTCGCGGAGGTGTCTAAGGTGCTCCTCAAGGGTACGACTATAGACCAGGATATCATCGAGGTAGACGAGAACGTACTGCTCCAGGATGTCCCTGAAGATGTCGTTCATCGCCCTCTGGAAGGTAGCGGGTGCGTTGGTGAGGCCGAATGGCATCACCGTGAACTCGTAGTGGCCGAATCGCGATCGGAACGCGGTCTTCGGCTGGTCGGCTGCAGCGACGCCGATCTGATGGTAACCGCTACGAAGATCAATCTTCGTAAAGAAGCGGTTGCCTGCTAGGCGGTCGAACAGCTCATCGGAACGAGGCATAGAGTAGCTGTTCTTAACCGTGTAGCGGTTGAGACCGCGATAGTCGATGCGGAGACGGAGAGTTTCATCCGCTTTGCGAGCTAAGAGGACGGGTGCATCCCACGGGGAGTTACTGGGAATAATGAAACCCAGTCTCAGGAGCTCCTCAAGCTGACGCTTGAGTTCGGTGGCCTCGGGGATCGAGAGTCTGTAGGGTGCCTGGTGGTGAACACGATAGTCAGGCACAAGCTGAATGGAGTGCTCGACGTCACGCATCGGTGGGATGCCGGCGTACGAGAACCACGATGGGAAAACGTCGTGGTACTCTTGGATGAGGTCACGAACTGTGGGCTCCAGGTTAGCCGTATATCGTGCGAGTTCCGCAGCGTCAGCGTCAGCGCGCGACGGCGGGGTGGACTCGACGGACGCCAGAGGGATGGAAGTAGAGATGGGAGCCATGGAGATAGAGGGAGGATCTGGCTCCAGAGGGATGAGCTCGGCGTCGGGACAGATCCTCCCTCTATCTCCATGGCTCCAGAGGGATGAGCTCGTCCTGTCGAATGAAGTCAGCGAACTACCGAGGCGAGGTGACAGTGAGTAGAGGGAGATAATGTGGGGACTGAAGGCTCCGGGGGAGGAGGATCGGGGCGTGGTGTCGCCATGGTACCTATGAAAGGTACGCGATACGTCTGTCCACACTTCGTTTTGAGAACGAGAGTGTTGGTCGCCCAATYGGCCTCGGTGCTGCGGAACCGACGAGACCACGGAGTGCCGAGAATGAAGTCGTACCCCGTCTCCATCACATCGAAATGTGCAGAGGAACGGTGGCGACGAGACGCCGGGAAACGATCAGTCGGCTCGAGAATGAGGAAGAAGGGGAGGTGAGTGACCGTCTGATCGAAGAAGCGTTGGGTCTTGTCATCCCCTAGGGTAACGGAGATGGGAGTCAGAGACCCTGTCGTGGGTAAGCGGGCTTCCTTCACCACTCGTGGGTGAATGAAGTCGCCCTGAGAACCGGAATCCCACAGCACTGAGTACACCCTCGTAGAGGTCCCGAGTTGTACTGGGATGATCGGGAGGGTGCGGTCAGGGTCAGAGAGGATGGCGAGAAGGCGACGCAATGCAGTGACATGGAGGGTGAGTCGCTCCTGACGAGCCTGAAGCATGCTCAAGTCCAGAAGAAAGGACACAACGTCCTCGCGAGTAGCAAGCTGCTCGCTGCAACAAGCTGAGCGAATGGCTCGACGCATCGGTAGTCGCGGCGGGGAAGGAGGGGAGACGGTGGTCTGCGGAGGCGCAGACGGTACTGCGACAGAGGGATGAGTACACTCTGTCGAGTCCTGCGATACGTCAACTCCAGTAGCGAGAGGGGCGAACCGTGACGGAGATGTCGGGAAGCCCACTATTGAGGAGGGCGCAGTGTACACTGCACCGTGGCTAGGAGGGGCAGCGGGGACGTGAGGCGCCGGGGGGGGACTGAGCACGACGCTGAAGAGAAATGTCAGCGTAGTGGCGGTCGAGGGCGGTAGTGTAAGGGCACCGCGAGGAGGTATGACCGTCCAAGTGGCAGCGCAAACACCCACGTCTGCCCAGAATAGCCGCGCGCTCCTCAGCGGAAAGGACACCGCGAGGAGGGACGAAACCCTGAGGGAGGTCCTCCTGAGGGACCTCGGGGGGCGACGCGCCAGCGTGACCGGGGCGGCTGCGTGCCCGAGAGAGGGCGGAGAGCGCGAGCTGAAGGCGCTTAACTGCAGGGAGGGTAGAGCCCTCTAAGTGATGCTCACCATACTCCAGCGCTATGGTCGCCCTCAGGTGACAGTGGAGCAACAGTGTCCTGCTCACCATACTCCAGCGCGCTGAAGCGGCGCGAGAAGTGGCGGCCCTGCTGCGTGGAACGACGGGGGCGACCACGGAAAGGGGAACGGCGCTGGGAAGTGCCGTGAGAGGAGGAGGAGGCGTAGCCCGTGCGCTGGGGCTGGGAGGAGGAGGCGGGGTGAAGACGGGCTCGCATCCGCTGGTGGTCCCTGGCGGCCTCGTAAGCCTGTGGGGCCGATGTGAACTCGTACCGCCATAGCTCGGAGCGGTACTCGAGCGGAAGGCTGGCCAAGAAGCGATCGATAAGGGCAGCCTCGGGGAGGAACGCCACGTCGCAAACGAGGCAGGCGTCCTAAAAGACCTGGATGTGGCGATCCAGGCCAGCAGCGCCACCAGAGCCGGACCAGTGTGTAGTGACGACATGCTCGAAGGCGTCAATCACGTCGTATTGGGCTCCGAAGCGATCCTCGAGGAACGCCTGGAAATCCACGAAGGTTGGAGTCCGACCCTCACGAAGGGAGTAGGCATAGAAATCCTYCCAGGCCTCGAAAGGACCGCCACGCAGGCGCGTGGAGAGGTGACCCACCCACGTCWCGGGTGTGGCGCCCATGAGCTGGAGTGTGCGGGTGGCAGACTGCAGCCACCGAGACACGCGTATGCCTGTACCGTCATACAAGGCAATGTCCGACAAGCGGATGAGTGGCGCGCCACCGTTTTGGCGGTGAGGGGATCGAGGAGCGGAGGCCTGTGTCATGGCTGAGTAAGTCGGCGCAGGTCTTGGAGAAAGGGGTGCAGCTGACTGTGCGCCCGGGCCGCATGGGGGAGCGGCGGTGGCAACAGCTGCAGGGTGCGAGGGTGCTGCGGTAGAAGAGGTCGTAGCAATCGCGGGAGTAGGAAGAAGGTAGGAAGGAGTTATATAGGGTGCAGGGCGCGGAAAGCGAGCCTGCATGGAGGTAGGGGGTGCGCCCGAAGGCGCGGCCACCTTTGAGGGTGGGGGTGGCTGAAGGCGTAAAAGGGCGAGGTCGGCCCGGAGCTGGGCAATCTCGTCCGCGAGACCTCGAACGTAGGTCGATCGAGGGGTGGCAGGAGGAAGAGTGGAGGGGGTGGACGCACAAGCGGCGCGGGGCATTCCAGGGGGGGGAGAGCCAGGTGGCGCTGCCGTCGTGCGAAGGGGAGGGAGAAGTGGGGCACCCGGAAAAGTTGAGACCATGGTAGCGGGTCGTTGTACCGTGGCCGTAGTGACCGGGATCTGGGCAGGTGCGCCCGTAGACTGAGGGGGGGCCTGGCTCGTGGCGGCCGTCGTGCTAGGGGCGTGGACAGTCACCAAGATGGCCCGGTCAGGGGCAACGGAGGAGGAAGCTCCGCCGTGGTCACCCTGTCGGAGGACGGGGGACCCGGACAGGGAGCCAGGAGATGACGGACACGCAGCGTCCTGGAGTTACTACATGCCGGCGGCAAGGGTCGCCACCTGCGCCTGTAAGGGCGCGAGGGTCGCGAGTTGCGCCTAGATGGGCGCAAGGGTCGCGAGTTGCGCCTGGATGGGCGCAAGGAGGGAGGTGAGGAGGGTGTGTAGATCCCCCTGGGGCTGATGGCCCTGGTCCGCCGGCACGGGTGTGGAGCCCGATGTCGTGGTCATCGCTGTGTCGACGGCATGTGACGCACCGTCGGCCATGGGGAGATGACGGACCGGACTGGAGGGGGCCAGAAGAGGTCCGCGTGAGCGGAGGGCGTAGGGGGAAGTTCGCGGTAGAATGCGGCGAACGGCGCTAGCAAGGCTAGCACGGGCGCCGTCAAAGGGGGAGGGGTGGTTCGGGTTCAGGGTGCCCGAAGAGGACGGGGAAGTAGGGGGGGGTTGAGGAACCCTAAACCCTACAAAAACCCTAAGAAAACCCTAACCGAGGTTTAAGGCTAGGGTAGGGTACTGGTGACCTAATCAAGAAAGTGAAATAGCAAGCATAGGGGGGGGAAGACGGGAGAAAAATAAATAAACAGCGAGATTTCGGGAGAAAATAAAA